TGATTGGCCGGTTAGCATGTGACAATCACTCAACATTTGTGTAACCATTTTCCAAATTTGGGACGTTCACCCCTGTTCCTGTTAATAGCTGTAACCCGAAAGTTTGTCAACCGACCCAAAGTTTCGCGTCGGGTCCGGTTAGCTCATAACCCGGCTCTACCCGACCTGTTTGGAGCACTACCCCAATGTAACATGTAAGGAAAATGACGGGAGTAAAAATTTTCTTTCTGGGCATTGTGAGGAAATTTTCTTTGACGATCTCCGCGCGATAGCAATACAATAATATACGGAAAATAATAGAAATAAAAAATAATATACATCACGTTATATAAACAACAATGGTAAGGATGAACGAGTACTAATATGCGAATCCGTGTAACAACGAATTTTTACAAAGAAAAAAAGTGAGCGCTACAAATCCATACACCTAAACAAGCAGCAACACGACACCCTACCATCACACCACCAGCTCACCCTCCCACCCATCGTATCAGTATGGCTAAATACAACATGTGGTCAAATATTTTCCCTACTACAAACATATCAACCTCATATATAGCTAAACTAAATCTAGTGGAGGCCAAGTAGCCCACTCTAGTAGAGCTTTGGGCCGAGAATAAAGTAGTCCTAGCTGTAGGTCCCTGTAATAATGTATGTAATCCATTCATGTAATGTAATGCATAATTATTCAATAAAGACCAAGGCCACACCTCACTTTTTTAAAAAAAGTAATCCTCGCTTAAGTTTAGGGTAAAGTAGGTTTAGGGTAGGGCGATAGCTTATGCTAAAATTTCATGAATTATTATTTTTTTTTTGTTAGAGCTCGAAGGGCAGTTTCATAATCGATATTTTAAGATATAAACTTTTTTTTCAAAGAAAGTGATAAGTTTACGTTACATCAGCTCTTGCATAAATAGAAGTTGCCTAAATAATAATGTAGGTAGTCCAATAGAACAGCAGAGACCGTTAATGTTGCACATATACTAAAACTGGTGAGGGATTATATCCATCACAATTGAAACAAATATAAATAATTTAATTTGTGATTGATCACAGGAGAGAGGGATTCACTCTGGATCGGGCACTGTCTCTGCTGTTGTACAATAGTGCTATATTTATTTATCCGCTCTACACTCCGGACAATAAGAAAAGAACTCTTCTGATTTACTCAAAAGAATTATAATAAATTATTTTGGAACATCGGTGTTTATAAAAAAAATAAACGATCGTAGCGCAAACAATATGGGACCCTTAGAAGAACATCTTAGGCGTTACGAAGATGTAACAGGTCAAATTAATAGTACATCTAGTTTACGAAAAAACAGAGAAAATGATGCGTTAAAGGCAATCATTAATATTGAAAATTCAATGAACATTGATCTTTGCTTCGCTTTGGACTGTACAGGCTCTATGTCTAATTATATCGAAGCAGCGAAAGAGCATATATTAAAGGTAGCTAGTTACGTAAACAGCAATAATTCAAATATCAAATTCTGGGTTGGTTTCTGTGGCTATCGTGATCATTGTGATCATAGTGATCGCTTACAAATTTTTGATTTTACTAATTCTCTCGAGAAATTTAAAACGTATATAACCAATAAAGTGAAAGCTAAGGGTGGCGATGATGTACCAGAAGATGTCTTAGGTGGTCTTAATGCTGCGATAACTGAGATGACGTGGAGCAATGCCACTCGTATTCTTATTCATATTGGCGATGCGCCACCACATGGTCGTCGTTTTACCAACTTATATGATGAATATCCAGATGGTGACCCGAATGGTCTAACTGCAGAAAGTGTGCTAAAGAACATGCAACTAAAAAACATTTTATACTACTTTGGAAAAATTAATGGTTCTACTGATGTTATGCTTAATGTATTTCGTAAAATAATTGGAGAGTTTCCCGTATTTGATCTTATGACTACAGGATATAATCCTGAGGAATTAGTCAATAAGTTTTGCAAAGCTACTAGCACAGCCATCTTTTCTTCTATTACACTAACCACAACTTTAAGAAACTCGAAAAGCATATACTCATTACAACAAAAAAAACTTCAAGTCGATCCAAATGAACCTGATTGGACTACTCATCCAGAGAAAACAGGAAAACTTTTATGTTATGCTTCACCTAAAACTCTGGCTGAAGTTAAAGACGAATATTATCTTATTAATTCAAGCTTTATTGAACAAGAAATATCTTTTAAGCTTGCACCGCAACCATTCTCTATCGGTGCTGAACGATATGCTTATTTCGCACTTGATACAAACCTTGGACAAGATAATAAATTAGTGATAAAAAAGTATCACGACATTGTAATAAGCGCAAAAGAAAAGTATTTAGAATCAGTGGAAATTTCTAATGTTGCTTATTTTTTTTCAACAGAATTCAATATAGCTGCAGAGCGGGTTGGTATTAATAACAAAGTTACATTTTTTGAT